ATTTCCCTGATGGGTAATGATGATGAACATTTTTTCATGTGTCTGTTAGCCATTTGTATGTCTTCTTTGGAGAAGTGTCTGTTCATGTCTTCTGCCCATTTTTTGACTTGATTATTTGTTTTTTGGGTGTTGAGTTTGAGAAGTTCTTTATAGATCTGTTTCTGAGAAGATGGGTGCCCAAATTCACAATCCTGCCTCCCTGCTGTCCTTTCTCCACGGCAACCACACAGGCCAAGTGAAACCACTGCAGGAGCTGGATGGTGCTTCTGAGAACAGGAGCCAACCAGACACAGAGAAGGCTCCCCTCAGCTGGGAGCTGGAGCCTTGACCACAGATTTCTGCCTCCTCAAGGACCTCCAGGGAGAGGGCTCATCTCACCCAGTGACGCATGTGTCCTCAGGAGTGAAGGAAAAGGGGAGACTGCAATACCTAGAATTCAATCCCCTGGGAGAGAGTGCCTTCAGCTTGAGTGTGAGGGGAGATCACTCAAGGAACAGATCATTCCTGTGTTATTTAAACTGCTCAAGAGCACAGAAACAGAAAGAAAACTCAACTCATTCCACAAACAGAACATAACTGGGATAACCAATCAGAATGAGTAATTATTTTAATGGCCAGGCAGAAGACTAACATATTAAAAAAAAACTGCTTTCTAATATGCCAGCAATAGCCACTCGCTTAGACACAGATATATGAAAACCTTACAGAATTATCTAACTGAACCAGTAGAATACTGAGAGAATATCTTTTCAGTTCTCAGCTCAAATATCACCTCTTGCTTAAGAGCCTCTGATCCCAAGATAATACCCTCCCCCCTCATCATTTTCTATGCCCATTTCCTGATTCATTTTTCTTCACGACTCATCACCACCAGCCACAGTATTATGTAGTTTCTTGACTGTTTAGTCTGTCTCTCCCAAATACAATGTAAGCTTAATGACAATAAGAACTTAATTTTATTTGCCATTGTGTCTGCAACACCTAGAACAGTACTGACCATACAACCGATGCTCAATAAACACTTGCTGAAAAAAATGAATACACAATTTAAGTATAAAATGGTGATGTTGCCAATTGGGAAAAACAATGTGACAGCTCCTAATGGAATTTAAAATGCACAGACCCTTTGATCCAGCAATTCTACTTCTAAGAATCTAACCTACAGAAATATCTTCACATTTCCACAAAAATATCTATGTACACTAGCTTAAACAATGACTAAGAGAAAAGGTTAGAGGGTGGAGGCCACGTGCAAGAGTTAGGCTTTTCCCTCCATTTCTTCTTCCATGCTGGTGGCACCTGCTTTGTCCTCTATAACACCAACTACGTTGTGTACAAAGCAGTATCACATTCACCATTTTATTGAACCCCTACAACTAGGATTATTGGTTCTTCCTATTTTACAGAGAGGTAACACCAGAGGCCCAGTGAAACAAAGTGGCCCAATACAAAAAAAAAAAAAAATAGAATTCAGATTTTAAAAAATAATAAAACTAAGTCATTTTAACAGACCCCAAGCCATAATAAGTGAAAAAGACAAGTCACAGACTAACCTATTTAGATGGGACATGTATAAATAACTCTATATAGATGTAGGTACGGGTATGTCTAGGAATGAAAGAACACTGGAGAGTATATCACTTAACTCTGGTTACCACTCGGGAAGACTTTGAGAGAGAACAGCAGTGAAGAAACCTTTTCACTTTACTTCTGTATGCCTTCAAGAGTACTTGAATGCTTGGCCCAGGCTATTCGATATAACTTAGAATTCAAAAATTCAGCACACACATTTTTTTTAAAGTTACTTAATTTTACTAAGATGCTCAAGAGGTTACTATCCCTTAGAATTGCTAATTTTATTTATTTGTTTATTTAAATTCAATTAGCCAACATAAAGTACATCATTAGTTTCGCATGTAGTGTTCAATAATTCATCAGTTGCACATAACACCCAGTGCTCATCACATCACATGCCCTCCTTAATGCCCATCACCCAATTACCCCATCTCCCCTCCCCTCCAGCAACCCTCAGTTTGTTTCCTATAGTTAAGAGTCTCTCATGGTTTGTCTCCTTCTCTGATGACTTCCCATTCAGTTTTCCCTCCCTTCCCCTATGATCCTCTGTGATGTTTCTTATATTCCATGTGTGAGTGAAACCATATGAGTGAAAGAAACCATTCTTTCTCTCATTGACTTATTTTGCTCAGCATAATACCCTCCAGCTCCATCCACATCGATGTAAATGGTTAAGTATTCATCCTTTCTGATGGCTGAGTAATATTCCATTGTGTGTGTGTGTGTGTGTGTATACATACATGACATCTTCTTTATCCATTCATCTGTGGATGGATATCACTTGGCATCAGGGAAATACAAATCAAAACCACAATGAGATACCACCTCATTCAGTCAGAATGGCTAAAATGGACAAGTCAGGAAACAAGTGTTGTCGAGGATGTGGAGGGAACTGGGAATGCAAGCTGGCACAGCCACTCTGGAAAACAGTATGGAGGTTCCTCAAGAAGTTAAAAATAGAGCTACCCTATGACCCAGCAATTGCACTACTAGGTATTTACCCCAAAGATACAAATGTATTGATCCAAAGGGGCACCTGTACCCCAATGTCCACAATAGCCAAACTACAGAATTGCGAATTTAAAGTTTAAAATTTAAATTTAAAATATTTAACATAAAAAAATTTTTGAAACCATTTAATTATCTATTTGCATACAAACTATTCAATTACAAAATACAAATCTTATTTCTTAAGATCTATACTGGAAAACAACTTGAATCACAATGATCTTTGCTCATATCATTTGCATTAAAACAAATACTTAAATACTTAAAATACTAAAAATAATTAAAACTCTACTTTGTTCAAAATCTGTGCAAGTCTATGAAGCTTGTGTACTTTAGTTTCTGTAGCCCATTTATTTGGTAACGTCTCCTAAGAGTGTGGCTCAACATTTCTCTGCCTACCTTTTTCTATGATCATCTTAGCATGTCAAATATCTAACTCTATATAAACAACAGGAAACACTAATAAAAAACCTAACTGTTAATCAGGGAATTTATTTCATTAGGAAGTAATTACATGCCTTTTATCTTCCAGACTAACTGAGATATCTGCACTTGCAAATAATTGAAAAGATGATGATTTAGTATACACATAAAGGTTCCAAACTTGGTGTAAATATATACCTCACAACAAGAATCCATAAATGAGGAAATGAGACCCAGAGAAGTTACATCATCTGCCTACAGACACAACAAATGTTGAAACAGATTTGAATCAATACCTGTTGACTCTAGTCCACGCTAAGCACAACTGCACCATGATGGCAATTCATTCAACTCAAGCACATGAAAATCCACAAAGAAAAAGCAAGACATATATTCAATCTTCCATACATTTTTTTTTAATTTCAAACTTGTTCTTTTTAAAAAGCCAACTTGCAAAGTATTCTAAAATTATGTTTAATTCAACTGAAACATTTTAATAATTTCAAAAGATTAAAGTACTTTGATGTTATTTTTATTATTTTGAAATTTTATTACGATACCATTTTAGGAAATAAGAAAATATTGACATAAGTTTCCTTAAAAGCATAACAGAATATTTGTTCTGAATACCTGAAACCAGAAGCCAGCAAATTACAGCTGAAGTCCAAACCCAGCAACTTCCTGTTTTTGTATATAAAGTTTTATTGGAACACAATCACACTCATTAGTTTACATACTGTCTACAGTTGCCTTAGCACTATAGTACCAAGTTCAGTAACTGTGACAGAGACCGAATGGCTCACAAAGCGTCCACTGTTTACTTTCTGGGCCTTTACAGAAAAAGTTTGCCAATGCCTGCTTTAAACCACATTCAATGACCTGAGCCATTCTCCATATGGCTGAGACCCTTGATACTCAAAATATGCTCTGCAAACCTGCAGCATTGGTATCAGCTTAGAAATGCTGAATCACAGACCCAACCCTGGACCTGAGCTAGAATATGCATTTTAACAAGATCTCCATTAACATCTGAAAAATATAGGCTTAGACTCAAAAAAATGGTGAAGGAATTACAGAGTTTCTAATCAAATCTAGAAAATACAGAAATGATTTTAATGGCTATCCCTTAGGGCCATTTAGCCCACTGAATATGTTCATCAACAATGAAAATATTTTTGTATTATTATCTGTAAATTGACTGAGCATGCTTTCCATTTCTATATTCAAGTCATCAATGAAAATTTTCAAAAGAATAGGTTCAAAACAAGAGATTCTGTGGTAAGCAAAGAAGAGCTCCCTCCAACTCATCTTTGAATATAGTTGTTAAGTCAACAATAGATTCATCAATCAAAAGCCAAACCTCTATCACCACATTAACCACAAGCTGAGATTCCGCCAGACACTCCAATGAGATCAAGACAGCAACACATCACAGCTTTGGAGTTAGACCAAATGTGAAATCTGACTCTGACATTTGCTAGAAATATAATCTTGGAAAGTGTCTATTCAAATCCAAAATAGAATTTATATTATTATTCTGACTGATCACTCCACTACTTTGCTCTTGTTCTCTTTCACAATGTTTTTCCTCTGTTTTAAAAACTTGTTTGCTCCCTCAGCTTTTGCTTTTCTCTTAATTATCATTTGCATGGGGTTTCTTATATTTCAGAATATTTCCTTATTCAAACTACTCAGAACTGTTTGTGTCAACTGGCCACTTAAGTTTAACAGTAAAAGACTGGTTAATTATAACAATACATCATAAAACCTTCAGAAGAAAGGAGAATGTTTTGTGGACCATTTGTTTTGTGTGTGTGTGTGTGTGTGTGTGTGTGTGGCAGTTTTAAGTTATTAGTTTTTAAAATCAGTACTTTTTAATGGAAACAACTTGACCAAAAATCTGTCACAGAATTTTGAGACCCATTAAAACAAAAGTTAAATGAGAAAAAAAAAATACATACTTATTTCAAAATTATAACATACAAGATTGCAAAGTACTTTCTGTATACTATCAGACTAAAGTTGATAAAGGAAAAATGAACTTACATTGTATACTTGCTAAGTTTGGAATTACCTGGAAAAACAGGTCAGAGCCTGATGTAAGTACAGTTCTCCTCAGATAAAAAGAAGGCTAGTATTCACTGTGTTTTTTTAATAACAGAATAAAGATTTCTTCTCTATCTATTTTATCAGCTAGTTTGAAGGGCAGTACTAGCATGCCCCTCCTTGCCAATCATCCCCATACAGGTAACTTATAAGAATGGAAACTAAGGGGGTGCCTGATTTCAGCTCAGGTCATGATACGACGGTCATGAGATCGAGCCCCACATCAGGCTCCACACTCAACATGGAGTCTGCTTGTCCCTCTTCTTGTGCTCCTCCCCGCACCTTGCTCACATACATGCACTCACTCGTTCTGTAAAATAAATAAATAAAATCTTAAAAAAAGAATGGAAACTAAGAACAAACAATGACTTCAAATTTCTCTAAAACTGAAGTGCTACATGTCATTGCTTCTGGTTATTTAGAAAAATCACAAAAGCTCATAAGAAGGTAAAGAGTAATTTGAAGGAACCATAAAATTTAAAACCTAATGACAGAAAACAGAACATGCACTTCAAAAGGCTCTTTAAGTATATCATAATAAAAATACATGTAATGCTTTAGTAATAATTTGTTAAAAAAAAAAAAAGCTCCCCTGTTATATTCAAGTTTTCCAAAAACTAGATTTAAAAGGCATTATTCAAGCTCATTTTGTTGTTGTTAAAAACTCAAAGTAGCACAACAATGCTGAAAAGATAATCCACTTTTCCCCCTATATATTCTCCATCAGTCCAGCCAACATCTATCAACCACTCACTTTGGTTTGCCAAATGTTTAAATAAACATAATGTATCCTTTTTGGTAATACATGGAAAGTAAGTATAAACAACAGAGATAGGTCTGCTTAAAACCGCTCACTGTACAGGTGTATATATACCTCTTCTCCTCCTTCTGATACCTTGTTAAAATGACAGTAAAAGAATTTTTTTCTTTTTTTTTTTCAAGTTTTTCTTTCATTCCAGGGGAGAGAATGCTTATTTTGAAAGGCCTTAGGGGTGCCTGGCTGGCTCAGTCGGTTGGTTAAGTGTCTGACTCTTGGTTTTGACTCAGGTCATGATCTCAGGGTGTTGAGATTGAGCCCTGCATCAGGCTCCAAGCTCAGTGTGGAGTGGGCTTAAGATTCTTTCCCCTCACTCTCCCTCCCCCTCTGCTCTTCTCAGCACCCCCCCCCCATAGGAGCACTCTCTCTCTCACTCTCTCTTTCAAAGAAATAAATAAATAAAACCTTTTTAAAAAAAAATTTAAGACTTTATTTGTTTGAGAGAGAGAGAGAAAGAACAAATGGGAGAGGGAGAAGCAGGCTCCCCACTCAGCAGGGAGCCAGACGCGGATGCCGCTGGATCCCAGGATGCTTGGATCATGCCCTGAGCCCAAGGCAGACGCTTAACCCACTGAGCCACCCAGGTGCCCCTAACAAATTTTTTTAAATGCTTGAACAGGCGATTCTGGAAAAACAGATATCCAAATAACCAATAAGAATATGACAAGGTATCCAGCCACATAAGGAAGCAAGAAAGTACAAATTAAAATCATGAAATGGCTAAAATTTTTTAAAGAGTAACAAAAACATGTTAGCAAGGATGTGGAACAGGTATTAGTAATGTAAACTAGAATTTAAAACTTACTTTAAGAGCTCATAATTCTTCTCATTTAACCTCACAGCATTTTCTCTCCAAAATTTCTCAGATTTGTGCACAGGACTCCACTCCAATCTTCCAGATTTAAGTTCTGAACTGTATTCATCAAATGAGCTATAAAAATTTTTAAAAAGTTCAAAGTTTAGGAGAATTTAAGAGTTACTCAAAAATTAAGCAATATAAAACATTTTTACCTTGTCAATTATACCTCAGTAGAATAAAAAACAAAATCTTCACTGATAATTTAACTGCAAAGACTGACAAACCTTTGTACATTAACAAACTACCACTAAACAAAGTTTAAACAGCTTAAATAATCTTTTTTTTTAATAAATCATGTGAAATTTATTCAAGGTCCTAATGTCCAATACTCCTGTCAATTTGAATGCTCACCATGAGATATTAAAGGGAGTACTTGCTTTCAAATCTTTATCCTAGTAAATAAATGTATACCAGCAAAATATCTGATAATCTAGCAGTTTCCACCATGCCACTTAAAATACTGTATTTGCCAGCCCGCTAGATATATTAATGTAAATTTATATAAAAGTATGTTACCTAAATAAAAAATAAAATAGCATTAAATGCCATATTATAAACCACTATACATTAGGCAAATAAAAATACACATATGGATATAATATTGCATAATGTGATTACATATACTGCAGAGGTAATTCACTAAATTAACACATTACAGACTAATTAAAAACAAAAACACCTCTGTGCATTTAGCAAACAGCAATGCAATTTAATTCAAAAATCATTCACAATGTATCAAGTAACAATTATTCAAAGTTTCATAATATAAAAAATGTTTAATGTTGTTATCCAATGGACAAATACAGTGACAGGACATGCTTGGACATCCTTTCAAGTGAAAACTTAAAAAAGAATTAGCCATTTTAATACTGATTAGTAATTCAGAATAACCAGGATTTTGCTGGTTAAGTTGAACAGAGTGTCCTGCTGAATAAAGTAGTAATTTACTTTAATGGAAGGCCAGTCTGTGTAAGAAGTAAGCTAATATCATTTAACATTAATATCCTAAACCTATAACAGCAAAAACAGAGACAAAGCTCTTTCACCTGCTCCCATCACCCTATTAGCTTTAATGTAAATAGCAGTATTTTTCAAATTACCAAATTCAACATGAAAAATCAATAAGTAATAATAATCGCCTAACATGGATTAAATAATTTAGAAAGCTAAGTATCACTAATCTTATTTATTTTTAAAAGAGATCTTAAATCATTATTACAGGAAAACTGATAATAATTTTTTTTAAATGAACTTATAAAACAGAAAAACTGCAAGTCTACTGCTGGCCGGACTACTTTATTACAATCAACTATTCATATTTAAAATTATAGAAAGACAAAAATCATTTGCCTCCCTCCACAAAACTCCATTCAAACCACTGATGTGAGTGATACATCTCTCTCCATAAACGCATTTGGGCCTTGGGATTATGAGCTGCATTGAATAATCTGGTAAATTTACATTTCTGAAACACATACTACACTGAAGGCATTTGCTGGACACTTGAAAACTCACAACAAATCCTACAAGGCTAGAATTTTTATTGCTATTTTATCAAAAGGAAAACTGAGACTTTAAAAAATCAAGAAGCTTGTCACGGCCACACGTGGAGAAAGTAGCCAAACAACTCAAACTGGGCTCAGCCTGGCTCCCAAACCCAACCTACCTACACAGAAAGACCTACTTCTAGATAGTAATTCTCCTCTAAAGATGTATCAATAGTTTAAAATCTAAGAATACATGGGTTTATGGGAAAGACCACCAATATATTATGGAATAGAACAAGGTCCAGAGAATACATAGAACCCCATTTGTGTGTGTGTTGATGTGTGGGTGCATGCGCACACACATGCTGGAGGAGCAGCGCTAGGTTTTTCTGGAAGCAAACACAGGAAATGAGGTTGGGGACAACTATATGGAAGAGGCATGAAGTCCCTTCTGAACTACGTAAGGTTTCTTTTTTTTCTTACTGCATTGTACATCATTTGCATCATTTTTAATATAAAAAATAAATAGGAGCACCTGGGTGGCTCAGTTGGTTAGGCGTCCAACTCTTGATTTCCGCTCAGGTCATGATCTCAGGGTCATGAGATCAAGCGCCACATTGGGCTTGCACTGGGCATGGAGCCTGCTTGAGGTTCTTTCTCTCCCTCTCCATCTGCCCCTCCCACCCAACCACCCCCCGACACACACACACACCCCCATTGTGTGCCTTGTCTCTCTCTAAAAAATAAAAAATAAATTATACCAATAGGAACTTCACAAAAGCAGGATAAAAATACTCTTTCCATTTATGGCCAAACCTCCTCCACAAATTAACAACCAGTACTGCTTAAAAAGATTCTAAATTAGAGAGAGATTCTTAAGGGGTTCTAGGATGACACCAACATCCTGTGGGAGTACAACCAGTCAGATTTCGGGTAAGAGAATGGTGGGAATCTCCCCAAAAGAGAAGAGATAACACACAGCTATAACCAACTGTTGCCATAATGATGAGCCAGTTCTGTCGTGGTTTTTTTTCCCCATATCCCCTAATTCTTAACAGAAGACAAAATGTTTTAGTGAAATCTTTTGAGTTTATGGTTAGTAACAAATTTAGACTTTCTTAAAAGACTAGGAAAGTCAAACAAGGCCCAATATATCCAGCCTGTGAGAATTTTAAAAAATTACATACCTAAGATCTTGGACACTCTCACCAAGTTTTTCCAAAAGAAATTTTATATCTTCACTGATATCTTCATCATCGTACTTCTGCTGTTCCAAGTTCTCCAACTGTTTCAGAACTTTGCATTGAATCATAGCCAGAGCATATTCCTGGCGAGTTTCTCTTTCAGTCGATTTTTCTAAAAAGTTCTGAGTTAGAAAAAGACAAGAAGAAACTGTAATTTCTTATATGTGATATTCTCAGACCCCTGAACTTTCTCTTGCACCCTCTTTCCTCCTCCTCTGTTCTCAAGTTAACTATCCCCTTTACACAATGACTATATCGCAGACCCTTACTTCTTTCCTGCACACCTGTCCCGTAACAGAAGCGTACTTCTGATTCCTTGCTTACTTCCTGGCTTCACCAAACGTTTTAAATTACCCAGACAAGCCTCAAAACACTGAACATGTTTACAATTAAATCCATCAAAGCCTTTCTCACAGCCCTGCTCCTGAGCTCCTGAGAGTTCCCAGTGAACTCTCCGTTCGTTCATTAGCCACCGAGAGTACTTAGGATACCAAGAGTGTTTCTTAAAGTATCTCTACTAGAGGCTCTAAGTCAGTCATCCTTTTCTCCCTTCCAATCAACCTAAAAGGCACAAAGGGCAGTAATAAAAAAAAACTCTCTTGCTTGAACAATTATCAGAAAAGTTTTGTGACATCCTGGAAAATACTCTAGTTTTCTTCTGTGATTTTTCTATTTATAAGAGTACTTAATGAAAAGAGCAAAGGAATCCTAAATACACTTGACCCTAAACAACACAGGTTTGTCCTGTGCAGGTCCACTTATATGAGGATGTTTTCAATAATTACAGTATAGTACTGGAAATGTATTTTCTCTTCCTTATGATTTTCTTAACATTTTCTTCTTTCTAGCTTACTTTACTATAAGAATATATAATATATATAACATACAAAATATGTATTACTCCGCCATTTATTTTATCCGTAGGCTTCCAGTAAACAGGAGGCTATTCATAGCTAACTTTTGGGTGAGTCCAAAGTTATACATGGATTTTTCAACAGCACAGGGGGTCAGCACTCTTACCCCTACATTGTACAACTGTATTTATACAAATAAACTCTTCATTGAATTGACCAGTATTTCTAAGCAAAGACCATACTCAGGCTTAGGGACAAAAACCACCTCTCAAGAAAGCTACTTTCACCAAGATGGTAAAGATCTGTCAAATGCCTACCCTCAACCGCACCAAAAAAATCCTATAATAACAATTCCAAGTCAACTATACCAAAATATGAAATTTTTAAATTTATTTTTGTAAGCAAATTATATTTCTAATAATTATACTAAATAAACACAGAAAGAGATTTAACTTAGCATATGGAAATCAGTGAGATCAATCCCTACACTAAAATTCCAATGGCATTTTTCACAGGAGTAGAAAAAACAATCCTAAAATTTGTGCGGCACCACAAAAGACCCTGAATAGCCAAAGCAGTCTTGAGAAAGAACAACAAAGCTGGAGGCATGACACTTCCTGATTTAACTAAACTACAAAGCTATATTAATCAAAACAATATGGCAGTGGCATAAAATAGACACACAGACTAAGTGAACAGAATAGAGAACCCAAGTAAAAAACCCCACATATACAGTCAACTAATATTTGACAAGGGAGCCAAGGATACTCAATGTAGAAAGGATAGTCTTTTCAACAGTGTTAGGAAAACAGGATAACCACATGCAGAAAAATGAAATTGGAGCCCTATCTTATACTACACACAAAAATTAACTCAAATGGATTAAAGACTTAACCATAAGATCTGAAGCTGTCAAATCCCTAAAAGAAAACATAGGGAAAAAGCTCCCTGACCTTGGTCTTGGCCACGATCTTTTATATATGACACCGAAGCACAGGCAAGAAGAGCAAAAATCAACAAGTGGGGCAACATCAAACTAAAAAGTTTCTACACAGTCTCCTAGATCCACTACATTTAAAAGCTTCTGCACAGGAAAAAAAAAAACAATAAACAAAATGAAAAGGTATCCTATGGGATGGGAGAAAATATTTACAAAGCATGTATCTGACAAGGGGTTAATATATGAAGAATTCATACAACTCAATAACAGCAACAACAAAATGATTTAAAAATGGGCAGAGTATCTGAACATTTTTTCAAAGAAGACATACAAATGACCAACAGGTATATAAGAGTATCACTAGTCATCTGAGAAATACAAATCAAAACTACAATATCACCCCACATATGTTAGGATGGCTATTATCAAAAAACAAAAGATAACAGGTGTTGTCAAGGTTATGGAGAAAAGTGCACACTTGTGCACTGTTGAGAATGCAAACTGGTACAGCCACTCTGGAAAACACTATGAAGATTCCTCAAAACTTTAAAAATAGAGCTACCATATGCTCCAGCAATTGCACTACTGGGTATTTACCCCAAAGATACAAAAACAGAGTATAAAGAGATTATCTGCATTCCCATGTTTATTATAACATTATTCACAATAGCCAAGGTATGGGAATAATCTAACTGCCCATCGAAGGATGACTGGATAAGGAAATGGGGTATATGAGTATTTATACACAATGAAATATTATCCAGCCATTAAAAAAAAAAAGAAAATACTGCCATTTGTGACAAAATGGATAGACTTTCAGGGCATTATGCTAAGTGAAATGTCAGAGAAAGACAAACACTGTATGATCTCACTTATATCTGGAAGCTTAAAAAAAACTAAAATTTAGAAACCCCAAACTCAAAGACATAGAAAACAGATTGGCGGATGCCAGATGCAGTGGGGGGGGGAGGGGAAGCAAACTAAGTGAAGGGGATTAAAAGGTACAAATTTCCAGGTATAAAGTAAGTACGTCCTGGGGCACCTGGGTGGCTTAGTCAGTTGGGTATCTGCCAGATGCAGTGGGGGGAAGGGGAAGCAAACTAAATGAAGAGGATTAAAAGGTACTAATTTCCAGTTATAAAATAAGTAAGTCCGAGATAAACAACTACTGGATCACGAGGGCAGAATTCGAGAGATAAGCGATACCATAAGACGAAACAACATTAGAATAATTGGGATCCCAGAAG